ATCAGCAGCATCATCAGCATCAGCATCAGCATCATCAGCATCATCTTCATCAGCATCGTCATCAGCCTTCGTATCATCAGTATCATCATCACCATCCTCGGCACACGCATTAGCATCATCATCATGATGATCAGCATCAGCATCTTCATCAGCATCATCATCAGCATCACTAGCATCATCAGCATCATCAGCATCAGCATCATCATCGTCATCAGCATCATCAGCATCATCAGCATCATAAGCATCATCAGCAGCATCATCAGCATAATCGGCATCGTCGGCATCCCCATTCTCATCATCATCATCATCATCATCATCATCATCCTCATCACCATCAACATCAACATAAGTGGCATCAGCATCATCATCATAATCAGCATCACCATTAGCATCATCATCGGTAGTATCATCATCATGATCCGCATCATCAGCAGCATCATAATCAGCAGAAGCAGCATCCTCATTATCAACATCATCATCAGCATCATCAGCAGCATCATCAGCATCATCATCAGCATCAGCAGCATCGTCATCAACATCATCATCAACATCATCATAGTCATCATCCGCTTCATCGTCGTCATCAGCCTCATCATCGTCATCTGCATCATCAGCATCACCATCATCATTATCAGCATCATCATCTTCAGCACCAACTTTAGAATCATCATGATCCTCTTCCGCCTCCTCATCCTCCTCCTCTTCCTGCTCCTGCTCATCCTCCCCCTCCTCCGCATCCTGTTGGCGCTTCTCCTCGCCCCCCTCCACCCCATCGTCCTCGTCCTCCTTTTCCTGAAGGCTCTACGCCTCCTCCTCATCATCATCCTCATCATCAGCAGCATCAGCATCCTCATCATCCTCAGCATCATCATCAGCATGAGCATCATCGTGATCAGCATCATCATCATCACCCGTATCATCATCATCATCATCATCATCATCATCATCATCATCATCATCATCATCATCATCATCATCATCATCATCATCATCATCATCCTCATCGTCATCATCATCATCAGCATCATCAGCATCATCATCATCATCATCGTCATCAGCATCATCTTCAGCATCAGCATCGACATCCTCGGCATCAGCAGCAACAGCATCAGCATCAGCACCACTATCAGCATCAGCATCATCGTCGTCATCATCGTCATCGTCAGCAGCATCAGCATCATCATCAGCATCAGCATCATCATCAGTAGCATCATCATCATCACCATCATCCTCTTCCTCCTCTTCCTCCTGCTCCTCCTCCTCCTGCGTCTCCTCCTCCTCCTCCTCCACATCTCTCTTGCTCTCCTCCTCTTCCCCCTCCTCCACCTCCTCCTCTGCATCCCTCTGGCTCTGCTCCTCCTTCTCCTCCTCCTCCTCCTCCTCCAGATCCTCATCCGCATCCTCATCCGCATCCTCAGCATCATCATCATAATCAGCATGAGCAGCATCATCATCAACGTCATCATCATCGCGATAAGCACCATCATCATCAGCATTCATCACCATCCTCATCATCCTCATCATTCTCATCATCATCGTCCTCCTCATCCTCCTCATCATATTACCATCAGCAGTAGCATCATCATCATCCGCATCCTCATCATCATATCCGCCCTAAGTATCATCATCCTGATCATCATCATCGTCATCGCCAGTCTCATCCTCCTCCTCATCATCACCATCACTATCAGCATCATCGTGAACATCAGAATCATCATCATAAACCCCGTCATGATCATCATCAGCATCCTCATCCGCATCGTCATCCTCATCATCATCTTAATCAGCATCAGCATCATCCTCATCCGCATCCTCATCCGCATCCTCTGCATCATCATCATAATCAGCATCAGCAGCACCATCATCAGCATCACCATCATCGCGATAAGCACCATCATCATCAGCATCAGCATCGCCATCAACATTATCATCAGCATCATCCGCATCTGCATGATCATCAACTTCATCGTCACCATCATCAGCAGTATCATCAGCAGCATCAGCATCCACATCATTATCCTCATCATCATCATCGGCATCATCACCATCGTCATCCTCATAAGCGTCATCATCAAAAGCATCATAAGCATTAGCAGCATCATCAGCAGCATCCTTATCATCCGCTTCATCTGCATCATCGTCATCGTCATCATCAGTATCAGCATCATCGTTACCAGCAGTATCATCATCATCCGCATAATGAGCATCGTCAGCATCATCATGCGACGCATCTGCAAAACCATCATTACCAACAGCATCATCGTCAGCATCACCATCGGCATCGTTAGCATCGGCATCATCATCCTTATCGTCAGCATCATCACCATAGACATCAACAACGTCATCATCATCAGCAGCGACATCCCCATCCTTATCATCAACATCATCAGCATCATCATCAGCATCATCACCATCATCACCAGCTGCATCACCATCATTATCAGCAGCATCACCAGCACCATCAGCATCATCAGCATCTTCGTCATCCACATCATCGTCATCCTCATCTTAATCAGCATAATCATCAGCATCCGCATTCAGATCATCATCATCACCACTATCGTCATCACCATCATCAGCAGTATCAACTTCAGCATCATCAGCGTCATCCGCATCAACATCATCATCATCAGCATCATCATCGTCATCCGCAGCATCATCGTCATCAGCATCATCATCACCATCATCATCATCCGTATCAGCACCAGCATCAGCATCATCATCCGCATCCTCGTCGTCATCAGCAGCATCATCAGCATCAGCATCAGCATCATCAGCATCATCCGCATCAGCATCGTCAGAAGCATCAGCATCATCAGTATCATCATCACCATGCTCGGCACAAGCATCCTCATCATCAGCAGCATCATCAGCATCATCAGCAGCATCATCAGCATCACTAGCATCATCAGCATCATCAGCATCAGCATCATCATCGTCATCAGCATCATCAGCATCATAAGCATCATCAGCAGCATCAGCATAATCGTCATCGTCGTCATCCACATCCTCATCATCAGCATCATCCTCAACACCATCAGCATCAACATCAGTAGCATCAGCATCATCATCAGAATCAGCATCACCATTAGCATCATCATCGTTAGTATCATCATCCTCCTCATTATCAGCAGCATCATAATCAGCAGAAGCAGCATCCTCATTCTCAACATCATCATCATCAGCATCATCAGCATCATCAGCATCATCAGCATCATCAGCATCGTCATCAGCGTCATCATCATAGTCATCCTCCGCGTCATCATCGTCATCAGCATCAGCAGCATCGTCATCTGCATCATCAGCATCACCGTCATCATCATCATCAGTACCATCATCATCATCATCATCATCAGCATCATCATCATCGTCATCATCATCATCATCAGCATCAACGTCAGAATCATCATCATCCTCTTCCGCCTCCTCATCCTCCTCCTCGTCCTGCTTCTGCTCCTGCTCCTCCTCCTCCTCCGCATCCCTTGAGCGTTTCTCCTCGTTCCCCTCCACCCCATCGTCCTCTTCCTCCTTTCCCTGAAGACTCTACGCCTCCTCCTCATCAACATCAGCAGCATCCTCATTATCATCAGCATCATCAGCATCATCATCCTCATCAGCATCCTCATCATCAGCATGAGCATTATCATGATCAGCATCAGCACTCACCAGTATCATCAGCATAATCAGCATCATCCTCATCATCATCATCGTCACCAGCATCATGATGATCATCATCATCATCATCCTCATCATCATCATCATCAGCATCATCATCAGCATCAGCAATCGACATCCTCGGCATCAGCAGCAACAGCATCAGCATCATCACCACCATCAGCATCAGCATCATCGTCGTCATCATCGGCATCATCAGCAACATCAGCATCAGCATCAGCATCAGCATCAGCATCAGCATCAGCAGCAGCAGCAGCAGCATCATCATCATCATCATCATCATCATCATCAGCATCATCATCATCATCATCATCATCACCATCATCCTCTTCCTCCTCCTCCTCCTCCTGCTCCTCCTCCTCCTGCGTCTCATCCTCCTCCTCCTCCACATCCCTCTGGCTCTCCTCCTCTTCCCCCTCCTCCCCATCCTCCTCCACATCCCTCTGGCTCTGCTCCTCCTCCTCCTCCGCCTTCTCCTCCTCCTCCTCCTCCTCCTCCCCCCCCTCCACCTCATCATCCCTCTCTCCCTCCCTATCCCTGAGAGAGCTCGCCCCACGAGGACCGCTGCCAGACGCACAGTCTTCACGCAGAATTCCGCCGCCCCTCCTCCCCCTCCTTCTCCTGCCCCCTCCTCACGAAGCTGCGCGATCTAGGATGCCACCAGAACCCAGCCGGACAGGAGAAAGAAGAGACAAAGCCAGGTGAAGCAAATAAAAAGAACGACGACGACAAAGTTGCTCCTCGATTTCGTCCTCTGGCATCAGTTCGGGCCTCGATACCACCAGGAGGGGGTCCCGTGCACGGACCAGTTCTGACTGGATTCGGAGTCGGGGTGAGAGAGGGGGAGGGAGAAGGAGGAGGAGGAGGAGGAAGAGGAGGAGGAGGAGGAGGACGAGGAGGAGGAGGAGGCGCAGGAAGAGGAGGAGGAGGAGGAGCAGGAAGAGGAGGAGGAGGAGGAGGAGGAAGAGCAGGAGGAGGAGGAGGGGCAGGAAGAGGAGGAGCAGGAGGAGGAGGACGGCTTCTCTGACGTCTCCACCAGCTGGCTGCGCCCCACTGAGGGCTCTAAAACATCGACTGTGCTCTCGCAGCGTTGCCGCCTGTAGACCCAGACGCGACGAGCAGAAAAACTGCACTGGGAGCCGCCAGGAACGTCCCATCAAAAGCAAGCCCATATGAAAATGCTCCGTGACTTGCCCCATGCCGCATGAAATCCAGGGGGAGTACAGGAGTGGCTGACGGACAGGACACCGAACAAACATGAACAGAACGAGAAAGAGAGAGAGAGAGAGATGGAAAGATGTCAAAGGGTAACAGTCCATAGAGGCCTCGGAGAAATTCAACACGTCCACCGGGGCGTCCTTCAAAGCCGCTCGCACAGGGTCAGGCGTGACAAATACAAAGTACCCCCCCAAACTCGACGATGTCGACGCCGGTTATCAAACGTTGTCCATCATTGGTGGTCACAGCCCACCAGAAAACAAAAGGAATTTCGGAAGCGGGTCGCTCAGGAGCCAACTGCATCAATGCCAAAAACTTCCATTGTCTCAACATTCGCGTGCTCCTCTTCCTCGAACCACCGTGAGCCTGCCACTACTATCACCACCATCGTGGCCATCAGTTGCACAATTGCTTGCATCGCCATCACCGTAGCAACCATGGACATCATCGTCATCACCATCAGATGGATCAACCGTCTAGTCGTTCCGCTCTGCTTCGGCCCTCTGGTCGTTAATCGTCGCCGATTGTGCGTTATGCAACTTGCCCGTGCCATTCCGTGCACACCACCACCATGGTCTCGTATTCCATGTCCGCGGGCAGAAAGCATCTGCAGATCCAAGGTCTCGCGGTCCAGACCCCTCGACAGCGACCCCCGCGGATACAGGACAGCTTTGCGCGGATGCCCCGCACTGAACACATCCGTGTGATCGCGTGCCTACGGGTAGCGCCACGGTATCTCCACCGCGAGGAGCATGGGTATAGGGTATCTTCGTCGCCCGTGGCTTGTCGCCGTCGTCTTCTGACAGCGCCCCAGCCTGACCTCTGATGACCCGACTCTTGTTCGAGCCGCTGCCCCCTGGATCTCCGACGCTTCTCCGGAACAACTGACCCAGGTCAGTCCAAGCCCGGGTCAGTCAGGCTCTGCAGGCTCCTGCAAGATCCGGCGCTCGGACGAGCCCCATTTCCACTGACCCCCGTCCCTTGAGCCCCGAGACGATTTGTCTTTGGTATTCCTGGTGCCCGCTGACCGTCTCCAAAGGCCCTAAAAAATGAAAAACAACCATCACGAGGTCGTGGCGCCAGAGTCCCTGGCCTCCACCTCAAAATCGGCCACTGCATCTCCTGGGGCGCGTTCCGCCCAGTATTCCGAAGCAAATCCAGCTGTGGCCACGAGAGCGACCCAGGCGGCCCCTCCCCCTCATCCAAAAAACATGTGTATGATATGTATATATATATATACATCAACTAGACCACGCGCGCTTCGTGCGCGCTTAGGTTCTAGCGCAGACTGACCGATTGCGAATGCGAGCTCGGACAGGAGAGGAGCAAGCGGATCGGCTGGAGCATCAAATTTATCAGCTGCAGGGGTCACCTGTCCTTCCTCGATTTCTCTCCGGCTTCTCCTCCTCCTCCTCCTCCTTCTCGTCTCCCCGTGATCCTGCTCCTGTCCCTGCTTTCCTACTATTTATTCTCTTCTCCTCGGCCTCCTCCTCGTCCCCTCCGCTCTTGATGTTCACGTCCTGCCAGTCCTCATTCTCCTCTTCCTCCTCCTCCGCCTCCTCCTCCAGCTCCTCCTCATCCTCCTCCTCCACCTCCTTTTCCTCCATCTGCAGGTACCCCTCGTCCTCCTTCCACCGTCCTCCGTCCTGCCACCCCCGTTCTGCCATCCTCGCGCGTTCTCCTCCTGCCGTGCCATCCTCCTCCTCCTCCTCCTCTCATCCTCCTCCTCCTCCTCCTCCTCCTCCTCCTCCTCCTCCTCCTCCGCCTCCTCCTCCTCCTCCTCCTCCTCCTCCTCCTCCTCCTCCTCCTCCTCGGTTGCGTGTTCGTGCATGCCGTGCGTGCGGGCGAGGCGAAGATGCGTGGGCGGGCGAGAGGAAAGTTTCCTGTGGCTGAGGCGCGGCTGGACCAAATGATTCTCCCTCCGGCAAGCGGTGGCGCGCGGTGTCCCGCTGGTGTCCCGCTTGTGGCTGGGCCCCGGCTGGACCAAATTATTCTCCCTCCGGCAAGCGGTGGCGCGCGGTGTCCCGCCGGTGTCCCGCTGGTGTCCCGCCGGTGTCCCGCCGGTGTCCCGGTGTCCCGCTGGTGCGAAAACGATCGTGAGACCGATGACGAAATCGATTGTGATATCGATGGTGAGATCGATAGTGTGACCGATAGTGAGATCGATCGTGAGATCGATACTGAGATCGATAGTGATATTAATAGTGCTATCGATTTTGCGATCGAATGATATCGATAGGGAGATCGCTAGTGACCGTTAGTGGAACCGATAGCGAGATCCAGAGTGAAATCGATCGAATGATATCGACAGCGTGATCGATATAGTGAGATCGATGGTGGGATCGATGGTCCCATCGATCGTGAGACCGATAACGACATCGCTTGTGAGATCGATAGAGAGATCGATAGTGAGATCGATGGTGAGATCGATAGCGAGACCGATAACAACATTGCTTGTGAGATCGATCGAGCGAGATCGATAGTTTGATCGATCGAGTGCGATCGATTGTGAAAGCGGTAGTGGGGTCCATTGTGATATCGATTGAGTGAGACATTCGGCCGCCGCCTTTACGTTCCGATGCTCGACCGCGCGGTGCCGGAAAAGCAGCAAGCGTGCGCCATCCCCGATAGGATCCCAAGAGGCACCCAAGAGGCACCCAAGAGCCCCCAAGAAGCCTCCAAGACCCCCCAAGAGGTCCAAATGACGCGCCCAAGCGGCCCCCCAACCCCTTGCAAAATGAACTAAATCCGCCGACCCCTTGTGGGTCTCGAGGCGTGTGAGATAGTTCCCCCCCCCCATAACCCCCCCCAGGGACCCTAAACCGGAGATTTGACCCCCCCAGCCCTGGGGCACCCACCGCCGAACGCGTCACGGGGGAGCAGAAGGTCCCCAAACGGACCAAAACCGCACAAACGGGCCCACGCGACGGCCCAAGAAAGCCCCAAGAGGCCTCCAAGACGGCCCACGAGCGCCCCGAGACGCCAAACGAACACTCCAAGACGCCCAAGATGGCCCAAATACGGGCTAAGAGGCCTCCTAGACGGCACAAGAAGTCCCCACGAGGCCCCAACAGGCCTCCAAGATGCGTCCCAAAAGTGTCCATAGACGCAAAAATTGGCCCACTTCCTGCGTAAAACGTGCAATTGTCACAGATTCGCCTTCTGGGTTGTCCGATGCTCCCAGACGGCTCAAGAGGCCCCCAAGACCACCCCAAGACGGCCCAAGAAGCCTCCAAGAGGGACCCAAGATAGCCCAAGAGGGCCCCAAGACGGCCCAACAGGCGTCCAAGACGGCCCAAGAGGGCCCCGAAGACGGCCCCAAGAGCGCTCCAGGAGCGCTCCAAGTGGCCTCCAAGAGAGCTCAATATGGTCCCGGACGGTCCAAGAGCGATCAAAAACACCGAAGATGGCCTCCAGACGGCCCAAGATGCCCCCAAGAGGCCCCAAGAGGCATCCAAAATGCGCCCCAAGAGGGCCTCTAGACGCAAAAATTGGACCGTTCCCCTCGTAAAACGTACATGTTTCACACATTCGCCTTTTGGGCTTTCCGACGCTCCCAGACGGCCCAGGAGGCCCCCAAGACCGCCCCAAGACGGTCCAAGAAGCCTCCTAGAAGGCCCCAAGACAGCCCAGGAGGGCCCCAGGACGGCCCCAGAGGCGCCGAAGACAGCCCAAGAGAGCCCCGAAGACGGCCCCAAGAGCGCTCCAGGAGCGCCCCAAGTGGCTTCCACGAGAGCTCAACATGGTCCCAGACGACCCAAGAGCGATCAAAGACACCCGAGATGGCCCCCAGATGGCCCAAGACGCCCCCAAGGGGCCTCCAAGATGCGCCCCAAAAGGGTCCCTAGACGCAAAAATTGGCCCGTTCCCTTCGCGAAACGTATATGTTTTACAAATTCGCCTTTTGGGCTTTCCGACGCTCCAAGACGGCCCAAGAGGCCCCGAAGACCGCCCCAAGACGGCCCGAGAGGCCCCCAAGACGGCCCCACGACGGCCCGAGATGGCCCCAAGGCGGTCCACGAGGTCCCAAGACGGCCCAAGAAGGCTCCAAGACGGCACCAAGAGGGGCCCACGAGGGCAACCAACAATTCAAAATCTAGCTTTCCGCCCCCACGAGACCCAGGGGGCCCCAAGAGTGTCCCAAGAGGCCGCCAGAGGCCCCCAAGAGGCCGCCAAGACGCCCCAAGGAGCTCCCAAGAGGCCCCCAGGAGGCCCCCCAAAGACCCCCAGACGCCTCCGTATTGCGAGCCGTTAGGCCAACTGCAATGCACTCCGCGCATACAGCCTTGCTCTTCCTCGCGACGTGTTCACGATCTTGCTCGGCGCTACGGTGCTGCTGCCGCGCAAACTTTTTCGTGCGCGCTGCGAACGTCAACAGCCTCTTCACCCGTTTCGACTCATCTGCCACATTTTTCGCGCTGACGCCTCGCTGATCACAGCTTCCGCACACTACTCTTGTTCATTTCGTCTTCCGGTGGTCCTCCACTTGGTTGCGGGTCGAAAGGCCGACCTCCCAGAAGGACACCCCGACGCCGCTGGCCAGAAACTCCTGGCCTCGCACCACTCACAGAAGGGGTCGGCGGATATGGCGTAAGCCTGTAGAAAATTATCCCGGCAAAGCAACCGAACAGCCATGTGTAGGAGCATATCTGGCAGCATTCCCTCAGCCTGCATCAGCCTCAGCCTCAGCACGAAGCGACCCAGCTAGAAGGACAAAGCGCTGAATGTACACCGATGTGTTCGACGACTGCGTATGTAATGATGTGACGATATAGAGACTGAGCCCTTCGTGAATGTCTACATGTTTTTCTGACGCCTACAAACGGCGCTGACGTGTGTGAGAAAATTGTCCGCGCAGCAAAAGCCGGCGAAGCGCGCGGGAGCTCGCATGCTGAGACAGACTACGTCTGCAGACCGCCAGCTGCAAAAGTTTGCGAGCGGCTCTTGGAAGATGTTTACGGAACGGAGCTACGGAGCTCACCGCAGGAACTCGCATACTGAAAAGGAATGCATCGAAACCGCACGCTGCGAACCCTGCAGGCTGAGAAGCACCGCAGGATGTCGCATGCTGAAAAGCACTTGTACTGCAGAGCGCTAGCATTCCATCTCGGGCTCGGACCCCCCCGTCCTGATCCAGAAC